TACCTTTTTTGTTTTACACCCCTGCTGATCTGAATGCTGATTAAATTTTAAGTATATATAATGCCGAAGCTTCGGCTTCGGCAAAATTTCAGCTTCAGTACATCCCTAGTAATTTGAGACTCTAAAAAAATAAAACATACGCAAAGAAAATGTATAAAGAAGTCATTCTATTGTAAATCAAAGTCAATTTGATTGCAAACGCATGTGAAAATAAAACGTTATCTAATAAAGATTGCACAAAAATTTTTCTAGTGAATCAGGGCCGACAACACCGGGGCGGAGGGAGGGTGGCAGGGAGCACGAGACCCTTTCCTTTTTTGCCAGAGGACCTTTTTTTTTTTTTTGGAAAATTTTAGATATTTTAGAAATTGACGATTATGCCTCTCCACTTCGAAACCCGTATCGTCGGCCATGTGAATATATAAAGAGTTAACTGTGCCAAAAACAAGGTGACCTAAAGTCTCCAAATATGAAGTATTCGGAGACTTTAGATCACCTTGAATAAAACCGAAGAAAAGGTTCATTCATTTTTTCTACAAAATCTGGGTTTAAAGGACATTAAAGTTAAACGTGCACATCGTACTGGGCAAAAAAAAGTTGGATATCCGAGGGTAATACTTTTAAAGCTTCAAAAATACAAAAACAAAGCTAACATTTTAAAAGAATCAACTCGTCTCACAGGAACAAGCATTTTTGTAAATGAAGACTTTTCTCGCGAAACGGTTGCAATCAGAAAAAAATTGTTTGCGGAAGTAAAAGAACGACGTTTAAATGGTGAGAATGTTTCGGTTCGTTACGATAAAATTATTTCTTTTAAAAATAATGTTTTTAAAAAGGCTCTAAACAAATAGTCGAATTACACATTCTTAAAAAGAAACCTTAGTTAACCTAATTTCAATAACTATGGCTTTATTGAATGATTTTAAATCCATTACTTTTAATTTTTTCGAAGGAAACCGCTTTTCCTCTGATGAAAACATAGATCCAGATAATTTTTTTTTGCGATACATTTACTGATTGTGCTTATTTTTATCCTAAAGAATTAGAAGGTTTTATTTTTCAGAATGCAATTTAAAAAGGTTCAAATCGAATTAGAATTCTCCACCTCAATGTAAGAAGTTCGAAATTTTGAAAAACTTTTTAATTTCAATTTTTTAACTTAAATTTTTATAACTTTAAAACTTTTTAATTTAAATTTTTTAGAAGAAACAAAATTTTTTTTTAATATTATTTATTTAACTGAAACATGGGTTACACAAAACGATTTTGAAAATAACTTTTATATTCCTCATTTTAAAATTATCTCACACACTCTAAGAAAAAATCCGTTATATACAACGAATTGTATCTGTCGCTATTGCACTAACGGGAAATCCGTTAACTTAACAAATTAAAATTTTAACGGATTGAAGTCCGTTAGAAATAGTCCGTTGAATATACGGATTTATATCATTAGTGCAACGAATAATCCGTTGAAATTAAAGAGTTATTACACTAGGCAGCAAATTTTCCGCGGTTGTTATTCTTTTGAAATCACTTTATCTAAAATAAGAGAGGCCAGAATTGTGACCAAATAATCCTTATATTTGTTAATGTTTGCATTTTTATTTAATTGCATTTTATTTCGATATTTTACTTAAAATTGACTTAAAATTACTTAAAAAACCAAAAATTGAAAACTAATCAAATATTTATAATATTTAATCCAATATACTTTAAATTACAATAAAAATAGTTGAAAAAAAATATTTTAGATACACTATACTCAAGCTATACTACAATAAAATACTAAGTATATTACAATACTAAGTATATAAAATACTAACAATACATTATACTAAGTATAACATCAATAAAAATAGTTGAAAAAAATATTTTAAATACACTATACTCAAGCTAGTACATTTATATAAAACACACGCATATATATAATAGATGTTTAATATAAATCAATGCCAAGATATTAGTTTTTGGTCGATAGTTTTGGTTTGGTTGGTTTAAATAGGTTTTGGTTTTGAATATTGTTGTTACTTCTCTACAGGTTCAAATCGGACACCATCACAGGTTCAAATCAGACACCATACTGTCAACTCCTTAAAGATTAAATAATATAAAATAAATTAAGGAAAATACAGCAACTTAATAACATACCTAGTTTAAAACCAAAATAAAATGTTACTGATAATACTATAGATTTTTTTTTGCTAATTCATTATATATAAATTTCTATTCAAATTTTGTTATTTTGATAATATCTGTTATTGCTTTCTAAAGATAAAGTTAAATGGTACAAGTAAATTAAAATGTAAATTTAAAAAAAAGTATAAGATTACCTTGACACTATCTGATAACTGAAAGACATTTCACATACATCAATACCTGTCAGGAGCAAAAAATAAGGTCTCTAAAGTTTTAAAAACTATGATACATCAAAACAAGATTAAATATGCAGACCAAAAAAACGCAAGTAACAATATAAAAAAATTAATTTTACAACTTATTTAAACTTACAGGGTCATACCACTTGTCACATGTTTAAAATAGCTAATTCTAAAAAAATAGTGAATATATAATATAGTAGAATAATAGTTAAAAAGTGTGATTTAAACTTAGTCGTAACTAAATAAATATGCACGCGAAAAGAAATCCAAGTTAAAATATAATTTTTTTTAAATTTACTAATTCAAACTTACAGTGAGATATCACAAGCCATGTGTCTAAAACAGTGAATTCTAAAATAATATAAACACGTCAGGTTAATAACTTATTGTTATTATTAATAGTTGAAACTTAACTTAATAAATATGCACGCCAATAGAAATGCAATTTACAATATAAATTTTCCAACCAATTTAAACTTACAGTATAACAGCATATACCAAGTATCTAAAATAGCAAATTCTAAAATAATATAAACAAGCCATACACAAACTTAGTTGTAATGTAATTATATAAACATGGAAGTCAAAAGAAATGCAAGTTAAAGTATAATTTTTTTAAATTTAATAATTCAAACTTACAGTGGGATACCACATGCCACGTGTCTAAAACAGCAAATTCTAAAATAATACAAACACATCAGATGTAAACTTAGTTGAAACTTAACTAAATAAATGCAAAAGTTACAGTATAAATTCTACGACCAACTTAAACCTACAATGTGACACTAAATGCCATGCCTCTAAAGCAGCAAGTTGTAAAATAGTATAAATAACTCATATATAACCTTAGTTGTAACTAAATTAAATAAACATGAATGTTAAAAGAAATAGAAGTTCCAATATAAATTTTTTAATTTTACAACTAGTTTTAACTTACAGTGGGATAACAAATGCCATGTGTCTAAAATAGAAAATTTTAAAATAATTTAAACACACCAGTATAAACTTAGTTTATGATATTGGATGCCACATGTTTAATTTAAAAATTAATAAAAATTGCAATTTATAAAAGCATATTAACTATCCATGTAAACTTAGCTGTTTAACTAACCTTTTACTACTAGTAAAGGATTAGTTGAACTATTATTTACATAATATAGACTATATGGATTGCATATATATGGATTGCATATATATCTATCTAGAAAATTATGCAAGAATATATATATATATATATATATATATATATATATATTCTTGCATAATTTTCTAGATTTAAACATGTAGTAACTTACCATATCTGACATGTGTTAACTTACCAAATATGTTATTGTATATTATTTAGTAATACTAATGGCTTTAATATATCATATAAAAACAATTTAAAATAGATTCATTGCTTTAAAGCATTGTTAATTTAAAATAAACCTTATTGTTAAATTTTCTATATAAAGCTTTATATAGAAAATTTAAAATAAGTTAAATAACCTTCGAAATTACACATAACATAGCGTAATTTAAATTATATTTATTCATTTGCTTTTAAACAAAGCATTTGTCTACTAAATGTAAAGACTTTTAAAAAATGGCACATTACTCTTACTGCATCCAAGTTTTATCTACGATGTAAATGTAAATGTGAGAAAAACGCATTCAAAACTTTATCATTTTCAAAATAAAAAGCTATAATATACTGAAAAACCTACCTACTAAAATAATTTATCAAACGATTAACAAAATAAGATGCTCCTCATAACGACACTAGTCGCTACAATGCGCGCTTCATAATGAATTTTTACTTAACGGCAAGTAATTTATTTGTCGATGGACAACTTAGTTAACAGGGAAACAAGTTAGTTACTAGGAAAAATAAAGGTAAATTAGTAAAATAAAGTATATTGATGCTGACCAGTGCCGTACTATCGCAAGTGCAACAAGTGCAATCGCACTGGGCCCCCTATTAAATACATTAGAAAAACTTCTCCAATACCATAAATTACCACGAATTCAAAGAAAAAAATTTTTATTTTAGTTTCTGCACAGGGCCCCCAAAAGTTACAGCACGGCGCTGATGCTGACGTACGCACAGAGGATAGTATCCCCCCCCCCTAACTATCTCAAATTTAAATTCTATAGTTAAATATTATACTATACTTTGCTTTTGTAGTTTTAGTGCTATAACAACTTTTTTGAAAATTTGAGATCGTCGCAAAGTTTCGTATACAAAACTTTTTTTTTTCAAGATCACAACTTTTAAAAAATTATTAAGGGAAATGTTTTTTCATTATATAGTTTGTTTTTGTTTACTCATTTGAGATTTGTGTTTTTAATTTATTTGGAACCAAATAGGAAAGAAAAAATGTTGAGGCACTATATTCAAGACTTTCCTGTTTTACATTTTTCAAAGATTTATTTACTTCATTATTTCAAGCACTTCTAACATAATCTAATAACTTATTTTGTATGATCTTTTTTCTATAACCACAGCTGCACATTAGTAAAAATAATAAAGCTCAGGGATAAAAAAACAATGAAAAAATATCTAGTTGACAAAAAATTATATATTTAAATAATTTAAATTTTAATATAATTATATAAATAAGATTATAAATTTCCACTAAAAAGAGTCTCTTTTGAGCTTTTTTCTTTCAGTTTAAAAAAAGATATCAAGATAGATTAAATCAATAAAATAAAAACATATTTGTTAGAGATAAAAAAAATCAGAAACTATCACTTGAATACATTGTATATTTTAGTAAACTAGCCAGTAGTTCAATTACACATTTAGGCTTTTTTCCAGTGTCAAGATCATAATGAGTCTGAATAAACTGCCAAAAATAATCAGAAATTGGATCATATTGAATATTGAAACACCAGTAAAGTTTAAGCATTCGATCTATACCTTCCGTTATAGATTTGCCTGCATTGATTATTTTTTTTTCATATGCAATGTTTATTGATAAAATAGTTTCGCCTTCCTGCCCTTGTATTAACAAAACAGGATATGGGTTCTCAAGATTTTCTGCGAAAAATGCAATCGACTCACCGACCTAAATATTAAAATGTTATTTTTTAATGCTTGACAATAAAAATTATTAGAGATAGTGGCTTTTTCATTTTATTGCAAATCAAGTATCTGGTGGTCATACTTCTCAAATACGCTGTATGAACATTTTTAACATAAAAAAATTATTTTATAGAGGTAATACTTACATTGCATATCATAATGTGTTCCATTATCTCAGGGGCAGATTTCCTTTGCTTTCCTCCTTTCCGTAATAAATAGCATAACATTTTGCATGCATTATACACTCGCCAATCTAGATAATAAATCATGACGTTTTCAAAAAAGGTTTTCTTAGGCATACCATTTTCAATAGTATGCTTGAAAAAAAATTGAAAAAAAAATTGAATATAAACATAGTATACCATCATTACTCTGGTTAGGTGCATTGACTAGGTTTGTCAGATAACTAACTTTCATTAGTCCACAATACTGATAAAGTGGCTGAACAGTTTTATTCAAAAATGTATCCAATAAATGTGGCTTACATATAGGATATTTGGTTGAAAATTCAATATCAATCTAAAAACGTCATTATTATATCAGAAAAAAATATCAACTAGATAAGACATTTATCGAAAAAAAAGCAGGGTATATATATAATCAAATAAAAATATAATCATATAGTACAAACTAAGTAGAGAAAATATTTAATGTCATTGTTGAATATATTCGTTGCACATAGAAAAGTTAAATGTATGTTTGTACAAATAAAATTTTAGCAAATACAGAATAATACCAATTCAGGAATTAATGCAAATTTAGGATAATTTTTTATAATCGTAGACAAGACTGGTTTCTCATCTGCAACCCATGTCTGTCGCAAACAAAAAGTAGATTGTGTACATCGTTTTATTTCCTCGACTCTGATGGAGGCAAGATATCTTAGTTTGTCAACATCTTCAATGTTTGAAACACCTATGTAAAAGTCAAATGTTGTTTTAAATTTTTTACCTTCATCTAATAATTTGCAAATGAAATTAAAATTAAATCTAAGAAAACCAATTCATTGGATTCCATTATTTAAAACTTAGTATCCATGTTCATAAACTTCCAAAATGAAAACAAACCTCCACATATCATACAATCTGCCAAGCCACGAGGACATCCTTCTTTCCATTTTTTTGAGCAAGAAGCTTCTTCTGTTTCTTCAGTAAAAACCCTGGAAACAGTAGAATCAGGTATTTTGATTTTAACTGCTTCCCTTTTTTGTGACCAGGTATGCTTTTTAGCTGAAGCTAAATAAAAATTGGTAAGACTTTCTTAATTTTACAAAAGGCTAATGCATTAATCAAGAACCATTTAATTTATAATTTGTGGTGCCACTTGATTATGAGCCAATTGCTCCACATAAGTTGGGGCAAATACTAAAAGACTATACATTATAACACCATAGTTATAATACAATTTTAAATGTTACGTGATAACATTAAAATAAGAGACACAGTTTAAAAATAAGTTCAAATGTTTTGTTAATAATATGATTATTATTAAATACTTACGCAATAACTTTCTCCTTGCATTTTCCAGAGCCCTGTCAAGATACCCATTATAACTTACAGGATCATAAAAAATGCTGCTTGGCAATCCAAGAGTTTCACCTAGCAATACTGCAACATTGCTTTTTTGAAATTTGTTTGGATAGTTTCCATATAAGCAAACCATTTTGTGCATAACAACTCTAACAATATGTTGTCTTGCATTGCAATTGACATTGAAATTATTTATTTCATTCATATATTGTAAGGTATTCTATTTGAAAAAATGAAATTTTGTTAAGTAAAAACAAATTATAATAAAATTTAGACAGTTAACATAAACAATTAATACTGTAATATAAAGGACATGGTAAACAATGAAACTTTATATTATTTAAAAAATGCACTCACTGGATGTTGTGCTAGGTAAGCCTTTAACACATTTGAACAAGAAAATGTATCATCCTGACTCAATATCGTTTGGCCGGTAAAGACAAATGCTTTATTGGTATCAAAACAGTCCTCTTTAATATATGCAGAACTGCAAACCTCAGGGGTAAACACAGCCTGTGTAACATATTATTTATAAAAAAACAAATCAAAAATAAATAAATGGATTTAAATTATTAAAGAAAATTGAAAATAACTTGCTTACCAAGTTGTTAGGTACCCATTTCTCATCATTGACAAGCACTGTAATAGTTGTACCGCTATCAGAAAAATGTTTCAACACTTCGTAGTCAAAATCATCAATTTCTGTTCCATCGGTTTGAAATGCAAATTTAAGATCATTTCCTGACAACAAACCAAATTTACTGGCAACTACAATTAGAAATGACAACACATTTATAAACTGTAGAGGAACAAAACATTGACAAAATAGTATCTATTTATCAAATATAAATAATTATTTCACCCTTAGTAACGAAGTCTTTATCTTTCTTCAGCAAAACTATTTTTTTTTTGGATTGATCAACAGACCATATTTTCAAAATAAGAGACATTCTATATATATCAGTCAGAAATGATATAAACTAAAACAGATATCAATGTTTTCAAAATCATTTCTATATATATATATATTCAAAATCATTTTATATATAAATTTTATAGTATGTTATAGTACAGGGTTCCCACAGAAAAAAAAAAACACCTTATTCCAAGACTTTTCAGGACCATTTTCTAATTTGTTAGTAATGTTTAAGAAAAAATGCCAGGTCTTTCCAGGACACTAGTCAAACTCCTGGACTGTGGGGACCCTGTAGCATATAGTATTAAAAAACAACATCTTCATATAATAAATATTTAAAGCAAACTAAAAGAGTTTTGCTATAATGCACTACTATGTAATCAATATGCAGTTTTTCTTAATAAGCGGTGAAATTATTTAATAATAAAATTACAATGGCTAACAATAACAATTAAAAAATTCTGTAACGTGTGCCGATAAACATTTGGTCACATAAGTTAGTAATGTTATAAGGATGATAATCTTTACAACTATCTGCATTGATAACAATATTTTTACACAAAATTTCATTTCTTTGTACCACATAAGCATAAAAATGCTCATTAAAATTTATTGTTTCTAGTGGATTCAGCACCAAAAAAGATTTAGGTGCAATATAAACAATACAGAGCAGCTCTCCAAATTGTGGATAACCTTCTACTACATCATGACACAAAATGCAACCTAATTTGATTAGATATGATCCAAAAGTAATCGAACAAGAAACATAAACTTCATCAAATATATTCAAGTTTAATGATTCACATATGATGCTTCCGATTTCCACATGCAAATTTCCAATAATAACTTTATCACATTTACCCAGCTGTTTAATATCTGAATATAATGACCGACTAAATAAGCAATTAGCAAGTTTTAATTGGTATCGATGCATGACAGAGTAACAGATGTTTTTAAAGTTACATATAACTGAAGAAAGTTCTTTAGCAAAACAATGTTTTGCCTCAAATCGCATACACCAATATCTACTCAAAGGTCCAAACTTAGCCATACACTCTGGATAATACAGCATAAAGTGATGCTTTGGGATTAACCTGTTTTCTGGGTAAACTGATTTAAAGTAGCAATGATGCTCTTCAATTAAAAATTCAAGCTGAGTAATAAGACCATCTGTAATTGCTGGAGCAAAAATAATATCTAAACAACGTAATAACAGAATTAAAAGTTTCCAGTGGGGTTCTTCATCTGGAATATATTTTCCGATCATGAGAGGCAAATTCCGTATTAGGCACCATGATTCAGCAGCTTGAATGCGTATATTTTGAAGATTTATTTCTGGTGGTTTGCTATTTTTGTCTGCCAAGGAGTAATTAAAATTATTTATAGCATTATTTATATCTAAAATGGATATAATTTTTTTCTCTGTCAGAGTCCGTAACACTAGGCATATTTCTAATGGCACTACCCCTTCCAGCAAATCATGCATACAATCAACAGCACTTTGTTCTACACAGTGAAACCAGTTGAGACAGTTAAAAGAACAACCATGTTTTATGCCAGTTTTAGAAGGATCATAATCAGTTGGTTGAGATTCAACTATACACCGATTGTAGTCAGCTTTTGTTCGCTTTTCAAAAGCTATTGACCTAAAGGTTTCTTGCAATTCAGTTTGAGTACATTTACAAAAACGACAAAAATATGTTGCACGAAAACTTTCCATAAAACCAAATAAAGAATGTGCTCCTAAATTATCTGCTTAAAAAATGACAATTATCGCATGAATAGTTATTTCCTTTCCATTTACTTTAACTTGAACCCCTTGCTCACTTTCTAATTCTTGAAGCTGACACAAAACATTTTTTAAAACATTGTCATACGAGTAGCTTGTAATATGTGCATCTAAAGCATACCACAGTCCAATCAAATAAATGCTGTCTGTCTTAGACTGATATTCTGGCAAAACATTTCGAACTTGCATGTATAAAGCCTCAAGTTTATGGACAATCGTGTGACTTCCTAACACATTTGTGACTTCAAATGCATCAATAAAAAAATGTAGTAAAAACGTTTTTGGAAATTTTTGGAGAAAAGGATGATTGTGAAATCTGCGTGTGTCAAAGAAATCTCTAACTCTTGTTGGAATCGAACTAGGACTGCACACTGGAAAAATAATTTTTTCGATAACAGACTCCATAATCTTGGCAAGAATCTGATCAATTGGAACAAAATAGCATTTATCTTCTACAGTTACAGAATGCATTGACTTTAGACCAGCTGAAAATCTTTGTTCTAATCGCACGCCAAGAGGTATTTCTATTGGTTTTATAAAAAAACCATTATCCACTAACCACTTCTCTCTTTTATAAATTGTATCAATGTTATTTGTTATATTACTAATGTTTAGCATTTTCATTAAAGCTTCATTGATAATTGTATTATCCTGCGCTAAATTTAACGGGATTATCAGATCTTTAAGTAGTTGTGAACCAAAAAGTGATATGTCATTAATAACTCCAATCATATTTTCCATTATAATTTGTGAGTTACACAAAGTAATGTTAGCTTTTGCAGATAATTCTGAAAAAAATTTCATAATTGATATTTCTAAATTGATGCATGTAGGATTCTCGACAACCTCAATAATGTCATCTGTATGATTAGTTTGACTTTCAATTGTTATTTCTTCATCAGTAATATCTAAATCAAAAATTATAGAATACTCTAATATAAAAGCATAATCTAATCTAATCATACATATATATATATATATATATATATATATATATATATATATATATATATATATATATATATATATATATATTAGGATTTTAGCTAACCCAATGGCACCGCGTATAACACATCATTCTCAATGGGTTTAAAATTCCCAAAGACCAATGACCTTTTTCCTTTCTTTGCTTTTTTGCGGAAAATTTCTATAAAATTCCATACATATATATATATATACACACACACACACATATATATATATATATATATATATATATATATATATATATATATATATATATATATATATATATATATATATATATATATATATATATATATGCTGCAAAACAAGACTATCTTAAGTCCTTTTTTGAGAAAAAGGCATTTAAAGTTTCTAATTTACCACTGTGTTTGATCTTCTTGATTGCTATTACTTTTCACAATAAATTTAAAATATAACCATTAAAAATTTAAATGCATGAGAAATAATAATAATAATAATAATATATGTTAGGTACGCCGATATCCGCGTTTTACGGAACCGATAAATGTGCTAAAATTCTGTGCCACGCTTTTTGAAGTTCACATTTGGAGAGGTAGGTTGTGCAGTGTTTTGTTGCCTTGTTTTTTAGAATTTTATATTAACATAGATATTTTTTAAAAACTAGAATGATTATACTTTATTAATATGTGTCTTTTGATTACTATTGCGTACTTTGTAAGTTGATTTATTGACATACTAAACTTTGTTGTACTTTGTGCATCCAGCAAATATTGAAGATATGGACAGCAATTAACTATCTTTTGCAGCCATTTAAGTTTACACATTTTTTATTTGTCTGCCAAATTTCGTTGAAAAAAAATGGGGCGCAGGCAGTCTATTTTGGGGCGCACTTTTGGTACCTATTTTCCTTAATCTGAAATCATTTGCGGGCAAGGGGGGGGTGCAACACAATTAAAATTCTTTTAAGTTTAACAAAATAAAACTTTGTAAACTTTTTATTAATGTTATATATTACTTTTTTTTAGATAAAATGAGTGAAGATATTAATTAAAAATTAATCTCTTCACTCATCTACAAAAAATACTATTTGCATAAAAGATAACTAATAAACAAATTGAAAATGAAAATAAAAATATTTTATAATCATACAATGAAATTGTATGTGTATTGTAGTAAATGGTAGTATTTATGTGAAAAGCTATTTACAGGTACTATCTACACTGAAAGCTATTTACAGGTACTATCTACACTAATTATAGACATTGTAATGTTTTTTTTTTTTTTAAATAAACATTTATTTGAAAAATATTTTTGTTTTATGTTTGCTTCAATAGCTTTTTACAACAAAATTGATTAAATTTTTTTAATTTACTTACCCGTTTAGTAGTTTTTATAATACTTTTAATTGTTGTTGGTTTCAAAACGCTAATACTAACGCAAGAAAAGTGTAATTTTAATACAATTAATTTTTGCTTAATTTTCAAATAGTCTATTGGGCTACATGTTTACTTTTTGGTCATAACTATGTTGTATGTATATTGATATAACTTTTGGTTTAGTTACATATATTAATACCATAGTTACATATATTAATTTATTATATTTATTGATATTGTCAAAAATAAATATACAATTATTTTTTCTTTAGATTTTTTAAATATTAAACTAATATATCTCATGGTTATTACTTAATATGGAAATATTTTGACTTGCAAAATTCGTACCAGTTATTCTGAGTGGCAAACAGGTACTGTTATTGTAAGTGTCAAAGTGAGTGGTAAGGATCATTTAACTTTTTTTTAGTGATATACATATTTAAGACAAATAAACTTGGAACCTATTATTTAAATATTATTTTTTTGATTTGTTTTACATTTCTAAATTTATTAAGAAACTCATCAGTTGTAACTATTTAATGCTTTAATGGTATAATGGGTCGACACATATTTAAAGGAGAATTCAAAAAATATTTAATTAGTAATTTTACATTGCCATCTAACACAAATATTGGGTGCATGAATGGACACGTTCTGTTTCTTTATACTAGCAATGGTGAGTTGTTTAGCAAAACAGTTGCAAAAGTCAATGAGCATTTTAACTTGAATATTTGCTCCAGTCATATCAAAAAAGTAGTGTACATAGCCAAAAACTGGTCTAAAAATTTTTTAAGAAAATATGAAAGTTGTGTTGCATTTTGTAATGAGCCCTTTATAAACCGTGAACCACTGATTACAATTTTATCGCAGCCTATCTTAAGTAACACTAATTACACAATATCACATTCTTCTGTTTTATCATTGTCAGAACACAGCAGTGTCACATCTCTGATATGTAATGAACCTTCATGTTCTGCTGGACATGAAGCAAATTTAACTACTAGGCAGACTTCAATAGAAAAATTGAGCCCTAGGAAGAAAAAATTAACTAACCGGTTGTCTCATTTGTCTTCTAGATTAGCAATTTCTTCAATAGAAAATCGTAAGAAGATAGCTTCAATGAAAGCAAAATTATCCAGCCTGCCATATAAATTAAAAGTTCTAAGGCAAAGTGTTAAAAGAAAAGAAGATATTATAAAAGCCTTAAGAGCTCAGGTTAGAGACTTAAAACATAAAAACCAAACATATTATTACAGCAGGCAAATTCGCAATCTTATTGCATCAAAAAAAGCAATAAAAATTAAAGAGAGAGAAAAGTTTAGAAAGTTAGCTCTCAAACATAATGCTGCGATTAGAAAAAATAATACGGATATTACTAGCTTAGAAGATAGTTTGACCCAAATGGACGAGGACAAGATAAGCATTACAAATACAACTGATTGTAAAAGCTATCCATTAAAAATGAGAATGATAATATACTGCATGTTATTGTGTAATGTCCCAACAAGTAACATTCCATTTCTAGTAAGCAAAATTGGGCAATATTTCAGTGTTATTTTTTCTCACATTCCTTGTCGTAGCACTATTGAGCAAATGGCTCGTGAGCTTGGCAGTATTGCTGATCTGCAGGCAGCTGAATGGATCATTAGTAATACTCATCTTACTCTTGGGTTTGACGCAACTACACAAGAAGGTGTTCATATCAACAGTATTCACTTAACTTCAAATGATAAATGCCAGGTAATTGCTGTTGATCAATTACCAGGTGGGACAGCTGTGGATTATGCGAACCATATATGTAACGAAGTGGATCATACAGCTTTAGTATATTCAAACTTTCACTTGAAACCCTTTGAAGAATGTCGTCGTATGGTCATATCAAATATTTCAAACACAATGTCGGACAGAGTATCTGTTAACCATCTTACAATAAGAAAAATTGGTGAAACTTGGGGTAAAAGTCTCAATGAATTAAACTGTCATTTGCACCCTCTTGACACAATTGCCACATCGTGTCGTTCAGCATTAAAGTCTCTAGAGCTTGATAGCTGCGAATTATATGGAAATGATTGTATAGCTGCAAAAATTGTTTTGGCTATGAATAAGATGAGGTTCAAAGATGGTAAAGGTGACCCAAAGGGATTTGTTAATTTTTTAGACAATAATAAACTACCACGAGGTATCATTCCAAGGTATTGTGGAAATCGCCTTCACATTCTGTTCCACACTTGTTTTATTTTTATAAAATATTATAACAAATTTTTACATTTTTTAACTATAGGAACAGTAAAAATAAAAACTTTACAAAGGGTTCTGCGAGTAGCATTTTGTAATACAACTGCTATAAAGCAAATGTGTCTACTTGCTTTATTTGGAAAACTTCTTACAGGGCCGTGGATGACAATGTTTTATGTGTCATCTGAGAAAGCATATTTTGATCATGTTGGTGGTATCCAGATTGTTAAAAATGTTGTGCAAACAATTAAAGACTGCAAATGCGATCCAGCTGCAATATTTTGCAGAACAACAGATTTTTTTGGAAATGCTCTCAAAGCAAATGTGTTAGAACCATTAACAAAAATATGTAGAATTGATGACGAGCTCATTGCCATGATCTTGGCTTGCCTCAATGCAATAGAAGTGGTTTTAAATCGACAGTATAAGCGCTATTTTTCCATTACCATTACAGAAGCACTTGAAAAAGAAACAGCTAGTGCAAGGCTTCATAACATAGATAGTGAAGAGTTAATGGGAATGTTCAGTGCTGCAAAAGGAAGATCTCCTAATGCATCTATTGATTATATATCTTGCAAATTACGAACCAAAAAGAATGGGACAATGGATTATCTGGATAATCTTGATGACTTTTCTAGAAAAATGGTAGTTCAGTGGTCTATTCAGGCAGCACGTAAAAAACGAATAAAAACTCGACTACAACATACTGAAATTAGAGCTGAGATTTCTAAAAGACAAACTATAAAACGCCAAAAAATTGATGAAAAAGAAAAAAGAAAGTTAGAGCAACAATTAACATTATTAACTATTAGTGAAATTCTGAATTTGTTTAAAAACTTATCTACTAAGCAAATTGATGATTTAAATGATGTTATGTGTGAAAGAATTGTTGGGAGAAATCTTTGCCATGAATGGTATGATTCCGATACAGCAATGACAGTCTTGTATAATGGCAGAGTAGAAAAACTTAAAAAAGCTCAGAAAGATATTATATACACTATTTCTTATTGGACTAGAGAAGAAAATGATACTGAAGCAGTTGATTATTATATGAAAAAATTCCAGCTAGTTGCTGACATTGTATCCGGTGAGTTGATGTTTTCCTAACGTAAATATGTTGCATTTATTTTTTTTATAATTAAAAATGCATTTTATTATCTTACTACTTTATTTTACTATTTTTTGACTTTCTATCTCTCTCTCTCTCTCTCTCTCTCTCTCTCTATATATATATATATATATATATATATATATATATATATATATATATATATATATATATATATATATATATATATATATATATATATATATATATATATATATATTTATATATATATATATATATATATCAATAATATGCAAATCTATATATATCAATAATATGCAAATGTACAGCGAGAAGTGGTACTTGCAAAAAAAAATATAGCAAGTAGTGGAACTTGCAAAAAAATATATAGCGAGTAGTGGAACTTTAAAAAAAAAAATATAGCGAGTAGTGGAACTTGCAAAAAAAAAAATATAGTAAGTAGTGGAACTTGCAAAAAAAAAATATAGCAAGTAGTGGAACTTGCAAAAAAATATATAGCAAGTAGTGGAACTTGCAAAAAAAAGTATAGCGAGTAGTGGAACTTGCAAAAAAAAAAATATAGTAAGTAGTGGAACTTGCAAAAAAAAATTATAGCAAGTAGTGGAACTTGCAAAAAATTATATAGCGAGTAGTGGAACTTGCAAAAAAATATATAGCAAGTAGTGGAACTTGCAAAAAAAAAAGTATAGCAAGTAGTGGAACTTTGCATAAAATATATATAGCGAGTAGTGGAACTTGCAATTTTTTTTGATAGACGGCTCTGGCTTACGTTCACGTCGTGTCTATTGTTAACAATGATTAATATATAGTTTCATTAATGGAATTTAATATCTTAATCATTAACTAAAAGCCAAGACGCAAACTAATTAGAATAATATTATAAAACATTTTTTGTTTTTGAAATTCTTTTTTAGGTCAGAGGGATAACCATCTATAACTATCACAAAGCATTGTGTGATGTATTTTGAGTTTAGGTAAAAGATGTTTTTAAATTAAAGTGTTTATTTTCATTGCATTTAAATATTTTTTCGAATCTCATTAAAAATAGCTTCTTTTTTTTAGGTTGTCAAAAAAAAAAGGAAGAGGGGGGGCAACGACACGCCCCCTCGCCCATCTACACCCTTGAAACAAAGGGTGCGCTGCTAGTGATTTTGTAAAGTAGTAAAATATAATTTTTGATTTAAATACTAGATTTCTTTTTAATTATAAAGATAAATATTTATATAAAGAGTCATTTTTGATAATAGGGTGTATTAAACTATCACCCTTACATCCACCCAAAGGCAATGATGAGTCTTCTATATTTGATTGTGATCTGATAGCTAATTACAAAAACATCTTGCATATAAAAATTTACATTTTCATTAAAAGAAAACACTTTTTTATAAATATAGCAAGTCTTTATTGCCGGTAAGGATGGTGGTTTTGTGCCCCCTCTTACCCCCGGATGCGCCCGTTATCTAGAAACTTTTATAAATTTGTAGATGACTCTTGTATCTATCTTTTGATACCAAGATATAAACATTTGGATAAGAATTGGTTAAGTTATAATAATTTTAGTTAATAAAAACTTTATTTTGACCACAGTTTCTTCAACAAATCCTAATATCAAAAAATCGGTACTTAAAACGTCATAACTTTTTGTAGGGTGGTTCAATTTTGAAAATTTTTTCACTTTTAGAATATTGACATTAAGCTCTTTTTAATGATATATAACAACCTATAATTTGATGAATTTAAAATTTTCATGTGACATACCTATATATGTATATATATATATATATATATATATATATATATATATATATATATATATATATATATATATATATATATATATATATTACACATATATATACATATATATATATATATATATATATATATATATATATATATATATATATATATATATATATATATATATATACATATATATATATATATTATATATATATTATATATATATATATATATATTTTATATATATATATATATATTTTATATATATATATATATTTTATATATATATATATATATATATATATATATATATATATATATATATATATATATATATATATATATATGTATATATATATATATATATATATATATATATATATATATATATATATATATATGTAATTGAGCAAATAAAAAAACTAACTAGTTGTAGTTGAACTTGAAGCTTTAATCTCATCAGGAACTATTGTTGAATGCTGGGTTTTATAGTGTTTTTTTAACGTTGTGAAACTTATGAAGAATCTATTGCATTTTTCAAAAGTGCATTTGACTTCAGAACCTCTCGAAGCCAATCCATGAAAATTTCGAAAGTGAGAAAAAAGGACACGAAATGGTGAAAAATATAATCTACAGAGGTAGCACTTCATAACTTCTTTTGGAAACCTTTATAATTGAAAGTTCAAATATATTTTTAACAGATTTGAATATTTAATCCGTTGAATTAACGAAATTTCAAAGAATCCGTAAATAGTTAATTTTACTCCGTTAATTTTCTGCTTTTTGGTAACGAATTAATCCGTTAATTTAACGAAAAAGCGCAATCCGTTACTTTTTTTAACGGACTGTTTTTAGAGTGCAAGAAAGAAAAACGAATAAACGGGGTGGAGGACTTCTAATTTATGTTCATGAAAATATATTTTATAATATGAGAAATGATTTAAGCGTCTCCGATGACGTTTTAACAATTTTAGAAGTTTTAACAATTGAACTTTTACTTGAGAATGACAAAAAAGATTATTCTAGGCTGTTGTTATCGACCACCTGACGGCGCAAGCGAAAACCTAAGCATGTTTTTACAACATATTGTGGAAACAAGTGACGCAGAAAAAATAAACGTTTTGTAATTGGGGACTTTAATATGAATTGTTTTCTTTATAACAATGACCATAAAATTAAAAATTTTTATGACACAATTTTTGAAACAGGATCTATACCCTTAATTAATCGCCCCACTAGGGTAACAATAAACTCGGCTACCTTAATAGATAATATTATTACAACAGACATTTTTAATAAAGGTATTCAAAAGGTATCATAAAAACTGATATATCCGCTCATTTTCCTATATTCCTAATTTTAAACTCAAATTTAGAAAAAATATTAACACCCCAATAGTTGTAAAAAAACGCATTTTCAAACAAATAAATCTTGAACAATTTAAAAATCAGCTATCTTTTCTTCATTGGAATCATATTGATTTTAATGACGATGCAAATAACATCTACGAAACATTTTATTTTGACGATTAAAAAAATCGTCAAAAATTAAACAAAAGTTATATAATAAATATCTAAAAACAAAAACACCTGTTAGCGAAAAAATATATAAAAACTACCAATATCTATTTGAAAAAATGCGTAAAAGCCTAAAAAAAAATAACTACTCAGAACTAATTAATAAATTTAAAAACGACCTGAACCGCCCATGGCAAATTATGAAAGAAATTACTGGAAAACTAAAATCATGCTTAGGTTGCTTACTTAGGTTTTCTGCCGCAGATGATTAAAGATACCATTAGTTTATACAATCCATTAGCCATATCTCATCAATTTAATAAATTTTTTATTGGGATAGGTCCTTCTCTATCTAATAAGATTCCAAATACGACGACTTTTTTTAATGATTTTCTCATACCTATGGATAATTGCATTTGTTCCGATGAGTTAACCTCAGAATTATCTTTTAAGGAATTTGAAGTTTCTTTGAATTCCTTGAAAAGAAACAAAGCAACAGGAGCAGATGAAATTAATGGAAATGTAATTTTAGACTGTTTCGATATATTAAAACATGTTCTTTATATGCTATAAAAAGTTTTTTAAAGCTTCTATTAACCAAGGAATATTTCCAGAATAATTAAAAGTTGCTAAAATTACTCCTATCTTTAAAGATGGTAACAGATCGAGTATTTGCAACTATGGTCCCATCTCTGTTCTTTCGGTATTTTCAAGAATTTTAGAAAGAATAATGTCTAATACAATATACAAACATCTCAACAAAAATGACTTACTATACAACAAACAATTCGGCTTTAAAAAAAGGTAACTCAACGGAGCATGCAATAATCCAGATTGTGCATGAAATCTCGAAATCTTTTGAAAAATCACAGTACCTGTTGGGTATCTTCATCGACCTATCAAAAGCTTTCGACACTGTAGACCACTATATTTTACTGCAAAAACTTAAATATTATGGAATTAAAGGTACTGCTTTAAAATGGTTTAAAAGCTACTTAACAAAAAGAAAACAGTTTGTAATTAGTAATGATGGTTATCAAAATATCTTGATATCGTATGCGGTGTTCCTGAAGGTTCAATCCTCGGACCCCTACTTTTCCTGATATATATAAATGATTTGAATAAAGCTTCCAACCTTATAAGTATTATGTACGCAGATGATACCAACCTATTCCTCTCAAGCATTAATATATATGAACTCTTTACCACTATGAATAAAGAACTAAAACATATGTCAAACTGGTTTAAATATTTAAACCAGTTTGACATATGTTTTAGTTCTTTATTCATAGTGGTAAAGAATTACATTTAAATTTAATAAGCTAACTTTAAATATTAATAAAACTAAATGGACTCTATTCCATTCCTATGCAAAAAAGCAATTATTACAACAAACTTGCCACAACTTTATATAGACGAAATTGAAATAAAAAATGATTCCGTTACAAAATTCTTGGGCGTTTATCTCGATGAAAACATCTCCTGGAATTAACATATTAATTATGTTACTTCTAAAATTTCAAAAAACATCGGGATTTTATATAAAGCTCGTAACTAACTTAATAAAAATGGCTAAAGCCAACTTTATTACTCTTTTATCCACATACAAAACCTAGTTTTACTGAAATGAGATTGTTAAATTTATTTGAGCTCAATGTATTTATATTTTTATGTTTTGTATATTTATGGAGAAATAATTAATCCCCTACCGCTTTTAATAATATTTTCAAACTCAAACCTAACAACACATACGATATGAGAAACATAAGTTTTTTAAATGAGCCGTTTTGTCACACAAAATTTAATCAATTTTGTATTGTTATCGTGGACTCCACCTATGGAATAATATTGTTCTGCGAAATCTCGATCAACCAACTCCCTTTTATCTTTCAAGCTCTATCTTAAAAAATGTATTTTTTCACTTGATAATATATAGATACTTCTGATATTTTGAAAACTGTTATTTAACTTGGGTTTTATTACTTTTTATTTTTTAATTTTACTTTATTTTTTGTATGTTATACTTGTCTTTATTTTGCTTGCTTGTATTTTATAAGGATCTGACGACAAGATCTTGTGATCTTCTTTCAGATCCTAACTTATGTTAATGTTAGCAATTTATATATATGTACATCTATTCATCTGTAAGTGTATATATGCTTATATTTATATATGTGAATGTTTTTCTTATTTCAATTATACTGGTATTGGAATTTTTTTAATTGTAACACCATATATACGACATATAATTGTACTGTGTTATTTTAATGTAAGCGAAATTAAAATAATAATAATAAAATTGAATATTAGAATTGAAGTCAATACCAGTACCATCAAGTGTTATGAAACAAGTTGGAGTGGATATCTGTAACCTTCGAGTGGTCATGTCAGTGGTCATGATGGGTATCGATCCAGGGGCGAAGGGGGTATGCACCTCCACACCAGAATCTGAAATTCCTAAAATATCTTAGACCTTTTCTTTTTTAGGAAGCGCAAATGTGATACAAAATACAAAAATATTTGAACATCCCCCCCCCCCCTACTATCTCCCTCCCACTATCACCACAAAAAATTCCTGGATCCGTAACTGAAATGTGGCCACAAGTTAACAACAACAAAAATATTGCAAGTACATAAAAGCTCACAAGAACTTTTGGAAAATCCAGTGGACTAGCCAGCCAACTATAAAACGTCATCAGTGATAAAACATTTGAAATCGGTGATAACACATTTAAAAAATTCCTTGTATACCATAGCTCGAATCTTCTTGATTACGAAAGTCAGTCGAATCAATCATCATCGTAAGTTATGTCTTTATGGCATAAGAATGAGCTCTATGAGCTCACAGAAGCAGATAGAGAAATTCTGTAAAGTAAAGATGGTTGGTTAAACAATAACTTTATAAACGCAGGACAAAAATTAATTTGTAAGGCTCTTGGTAATCTTAAAACGTACCAAGAGGTATTAAACTGCCAGAAAAAGAAGTCGACATACTTCCCAGTTTCTGTCGACCATCTTCAGTTATTGCATAATGGTAGTTGTCATTTGTTATTAGCATTTATTTCAAGTGTGCGATAGCCTGGGCAATAATCTAACATCGATTTTGAAAACATGTGTAAAATCCCTCGTTTCATTTCTTTTCGTTGATAGAAAGACGGATAGTTTTAATTGTAATGTCTTTATTTTAGATTATGTTAGTATTTTGTTCGATGGAAAATCCCCCTCTGATGCTCGCTTTGTTGTGAATGAAATGCGCAATTATTATATGAAATGCTTGACAGACGCTCGCTTAGATCCTTTCCCAACACTAAAAAACCCCAAGGAATAACTTTCATGTTTTGATTCAAAAATAGATTTTTTATTTTTATAATGTGATTTGCGATTTATTTTTATAATGTGATTTGCGATTTGCTTTACTTTACTTACTTTACTTACTCCTCATAGTTACTGATTAGTTAAACTTTTTTTTAAAAATACTGGGAAATTTAAACTCAAAAAGTTCTAATTTACCGGGAAAACTCCACATTAAAGTCTTATTTTATGGGTCTTAATTTACCATGACACCAGGTTATATAGGGCAAGTTCTTTTTCATCAAATGCTTCATTTTTACAATTAGTAGACCTGGTACCATTATCGTTCGTTGGTTCAAAGTAGTGTTGAAATCTTTCAGTAGGCGTACAGTTTCACGACTTTCTGTATTTGACACCTTTAGAAAGGTGTTGATTTTCAGAGACTAGCGTATTTACAGAAGAAGTAGTATCTGACTGAGTATCCTACAGTTTGAATTAAAATGTTAGTTTGTGACACTTGCATTCTTGTTTAAACGAACCTTCTTAGCTAACTTGCGAGTAGCTGCCCACTTAACTTTCGTTTTTTGTTTTCATTGCTAGCTTAGGTGACATCCAGGTATCATCCATAGTAGTTAACATACCAATATTGTAGCAAAGATTTACGACTATTTCTAAACTGATCTTCCAATTTAAACTGCTTTTCCGATTTAAAACAATCCCTCGTATATATTCTGTAAAAGGTATTAAAACATTAAAAGACTGATTATCTTGAGCAAACACCTAAGTCACTAATTTTTAACATGTAGTTAACTACATGTTATAAATTATAGACAGTTGTTTGCTTGTTAACAATCATAAAAAATTAATAATGTTTAAAAATAAAACAATAATAACAATTTTACAAATTCGTTAAAACAACAACAACACAATAACGAGAACAGAAAAGCTGACAATAGATACTGATTTCCGATAAATCATTAAAAAAAAAAGTCAATTATAAAAAACGAAAACTTAAAATAAAAATAAAAAATTATAATAAAAATCCTTTAAAAATAAAATTTAGCATGGTTGATTAAGTTGATGGGTTTCATTATTTATTTGTTCTTTCTTATTCGAACGTTCTAATAGTTTTTAATGTTTTGATCATAGACTTTTTTTCTCTCCCTTTGTCTTAAAATTTTTCTCTCTTTTTCCTTTTGTACTTATTTTTATTCTTTTTCATTTTGTTTTTCTTTGGTAATTTAAATTTATAAATTTTTGAATGTTTTAGAGGGCTGTTTGACCGTTCTAGGGGACGTGGGGGAAAAGCTCGCCCCCCTTACCCGACTTTCTATACTAAATTCGTCACTGCATGCATGTTTTTCAGTTTAACATTTATCAAACTCTTATTTTTATGTACATTTTAAAACATTTTTCAATAAAATATAAAAACTATAAGCAATCTAAGATACTTATTTTAGAAATATTATTTTTCAAATACTTTATTGTGGAAAATATTATTATGAAATTTTTTATTAAACAATGACCTGAAAATTTGTTTAATAAAATATTCCATAATAATTTTATTTTATTATTATGACTTTTTTCATTATTATAAACTTTCTTTAAGTTATCTTATTGACCTTTACTTATATAATATAATTTTGACTATATATATTTAAATCTAATTTTTAAGATATAACTAATAATAACTAATAATTTAAAAATTTAATAAGATATAACTAATAATTTCAATTTCTTGAATTTATTATTTGCTATATTTATATATAAAGAGAGTTGCATAAACTATGCTTTTATATAATATGTTATATAACAGTTTTTGATTCTGTGAGCAGTATACCTTTATATAATATGTTGTATAACAGTTTTTTACTCGTTATAGTCGTAATATAAAACTTGCAGTATATGAGTCGTTAAAATTGTAAAAAAAAAGAGACGTACATTGGTGAGGAATACAATCTCATACCATGTTATGTTAAAATAGCTTTACCATTACCATATTTATAAAAACGAAATTAAAAGCAGTATACATATGACTCGAGTAGGTCGGCACAACAAAAGATTAATACAATTGTGTTTACTAACTGAAAAATTAGTTTAACTGCAAATTTAATGCTACTGCGTCAAAGTTTCTTAATATCGGAGTAAAAAATGGCTGTATTCACAAATTTATTTGCTTTACTTTATACACGGTTTACTCCCTAAGTTTGAAAAATGAAATTAAATTTTTTTTTTAATTTTTGCTTAAAAATTTATGTAATTTTAATTTTAATCTTTTTTTTATTATATCTTAAGCAACGTAATGGATATTTTATCCAAATATAAAGCAAAGAACCACAGATGTTCAGGAAAATAAAATATTGCTATGCAATTCATGATAAGAATTTAATAATTAATAATCGGTTTATTTTTTTGCATTTGTTTTTCGTTTAACTTCAAAAGCACAAAGTTACATTTTTTCAAGGTTGTGTTTCATTTATCTGAATACATTTTCATGTCGCGTTAATTATTTACGGTGTACTTATTTCGTGGCGTAAAAACCATGCACACGCAAAAAAAAAAAAAAAAAAAAAAATTGTTTTTCAGTTTTAAAATTGAAAATTAAATTGTAGGGTAGATAAACAAAAATATAATTAAAACTATGTAAAAACGGCTTTCGAGTAAAAACTTATAAAAACCGAATAGAGATGATTAAGATTGATTAAAGTATAAATCAATAATCCTTTTAGATTTTGTTAAATAGACGTCGTGACTATGAAATGGGCTGCATTTATTATATTAGTGTTTTCCCATCAAATAATCGGCCAAACATGCAACAGGAAAAAAATTGAATCAAAAGGTGACATAATTATTTTTGGCATGTTCCCAATCCAATACTGCGATAAAAACAACACTGACGATACATCTATTGTTTGGGCAGAAGCAATGAAGTACACCATCAACGAAGCAAACAAGCAGCAGGGTAAGAATCTATTTGGGTACACAATTTATGATTCTGAAAACTATGCAGAATTGGACGGCACAACGTCTGCTACTATAGATATCCTTTTTCAGCTAAACACTAACAATATCGTTTTAAACCAACAGGGATCTTGTTTAAATTCAATACTCAACAGAACATTAGGTCTTGTTGGTCCAACAGACTCAACTAATTCCATAAATGTTCACCGTTTGACCTCTTTTACCAACATTGCTATTGTCAGTTACAGTGCTACAAGCACTGAACTAAGTAATAAAGAACTGTATCCAAACTTCTTTCGAACCATGCCAACTGATTCTTTTCAAGTACAGTTTATCATAGATTTGCTGCTTTATTTTAATTGGACATATGTTTCAATCATAGCAACAGACAGCTCTTATGGAAGAAATGGAGCCTTTTTGCTTCAGGAAATGTTTTCTACAAACGGTATTTGTATGAGTAAATACGTTAGTATAGGAGATGATTATGATGAAATAGAATATAAAAACGCTTTATTTAACATAACCGATGATAATCGAGCCAAGGTCGTAATATTTTACGGGACTGTCGATTCAGCAAAAAATATACTTGCTGATTGCTTGAAACATAAAATAAAAGATCTTAATTGGATTTTAAGCGAATCAAATTTGCAGAGCAATTGGTTACTTGATTTTAAAAAACAATATAATGGCAACATAATGATGATAATACTTTGTTCTGAAGGTTTTGAAAAATTCAAAAGTACTTTATTAAGTACAACGTACAAAAACTCTGACGATTGGCTAAGAACATTATTTGAAAAAAACAGTCAGAACAAACTCTTTCCAGATATGATGCTAGGTGATGTTAATAATTATTTAGACTTTAGTTGGGTAAGTTACGTCCAAACTGCAGTAAATGTTTTAATAAAATCGTTTTTAAAATACGTTGATTGCAATAAAAACTTACTTTTATGTAATTCATCTTTGATTGAAAACCGGAAACACTTCAACAATATTGTAAAAAATATAACTTTTTTAAACTTTGATGACAGTTTGTTTCAGTTTGATAAAAATCAAGACCCTTTGACAGTTCAATACGATTTTTATATAGCATCTAACGAAAGTTTTTTATTTACTGGTACCTGGTCGTCTATAAAGCAGAAAAGGTTAGAAATAAAAGAGAGCAAAATTTTACAATCAGTATCTTCAAAATGTTCAGAACCTTGTCCTCCAGGTCAATTTGCTGTAATTAATCTTCAACTAAAATGTTGTTGGATATGTACTTTTTGTGATGAAAACTATGTTAAAGGCAATGTTGGTACAGAAGCGTGCAAGAAATGTAAATTAGAAGAAGATTATTATTCAAACATAAACAGGACTAGATGTATTAAATTACATCGAACTTTTTGGAGTTTTAGAGAAAAAGAGCAAATTACACGATTAATAATTGCTTTTTTATTTTCAATGATAGGAGTGACAATATCAATTGCATTTATTATTGTATTTGTGATTAAAAAAAACACACCACTTGTTCGTTCATCAAACTACAAGTTTTCTTTGGGTCAGATGGGTGCTCATCTTACTCTGTTTATAATTCCAATCTTAAGTCTTGAAGAAGATACAAAGTTAAAATGTGTTACTAGAACATATCTTGGAGGGCTCCTTTTTTTCTCTATAATTATATTAACGTTACTAAAAGTCACACATCTAATTGCAGTGTTCGGTGCCTTCAAAAAATTATCTAAAAAAGACATGATGCGTATTAGGTTTAAAGAAATTCTTTTTTTTTTTTTAGCCATTTTGATTTACGCAACAATGGTTCTCGTGGTTGAGAATATGTATCCATTAGACATTATAGAAGATAAAAATACGGACACACTTACTATCTATAAATTTTGCGATTCTGGAAAATTTTTGACTTTTCATATTGTTTGCGTATTTATTCTACTAATAGTTTGTGCTGTCCAAACATATCGAGGTCGTAAGCTACCGTGGAAGTTTAACGAAGCTAAATACATCGCTTTTGGAATGTTTACATCAACTTTAGTCCAAATTATTTCCATATTTATTGGACTTAGCTCCCTAGATCCAATGAGCAACACTTTTTTGCTGTGGCTTTCAACAAATCTTTCTAACTTATTACTTTTTGCAATTTTGTTCGGTTTTAAATTGAAAGTGATTCTTTTTAATCCCGAAAAAAACACCGTCAAACGATTTCGAAAAGTTACAACAGCAGTAATTTATGGATCGCATTTTTTACCTTCAATTCCCCAAGTAAGTAAGCAACGAATTAGAAATTTGTCAATATCGTTTTGATTGTTAGCTTTATTATTTGCTGACATATACTACATATTCTTACGATTACGTCAAATGCACTTCATTACATAAAATAACAACATATTTAAAATATCGAAGTTTTTTATGATTTATAATTTTAAAAATACAGTTACAGTAATATATATTTTGATTATAAAAGTTTTGAAATTTTTTTGCTCAGGGAGCGGTAAGAAAAGTCAAAAAGAAACTTATTCTTATTATAGAGTAACTCGGGGCAAAATTACTAACAGTTTGCAAATATTTAGTTTTTCCGAAACGGTCAGTCAAGCAGTGATAATACTATTTTAAATTATAAATTATGATAATAATGTATAATTTGCTATACATTATAATATTTTTGTATAATAAATTATTTTTTATCATACATTATGATAAAAAAATACAGTTTGTATATTTTATCATAATGCATCATTATCTGCATGAGTTTGCAACTTATGAGTAGAAAAATTGAATATTATATAAAAAAAAACAACCATAGGTTCTTTATTTAGACACGTCAATCGGGAAGATTGATTTTTTATGCGTTTTCGGTCATCAGGTTTATTAAATTTTGAAAACTAATAGGGAAAAACGTAAGATGGCGACAACAACTCAACAAAAAAGTATAAATATAGGTGAAAACGAAACTGTATTTGCACCTTTTATATTAAAACGCCAATTAATTTGTTTAAATATTAAAAACGCAATTTTATACGCATTAGTTTACTTTTAGGGCTTAAAAAAAAAATACCTCGGTTTTGGTTATTTATAATAGACGGTGTCCGTCAGGTGTAACTATTTTAGGAATAGATTTTTGCGACCGTGTTTATTTTGTGTTATTTTAGTTAGAGAAGTTCGTAGTTTTAAAAACTTTTTAAATTTAAGGCAGAAACTGCATTAGAAGTCATCTTGTCCCGGTCACATGACCAGATAACAAATTTATGATCTCTTAATTTTAATTTTCATTTCAAATTTTTCAACTTGCAAACTTTTTGCTCTGTCTTTCTCTAACCGTTTCATATAATGTATTTCAAAATAGTTGTGTGTTTTCAAAAATCATTTCTAAACAAAGAACAAGATTATTCTAACCTCGCCATATTTTGAGTTTTGTTAGCGTCAATTTTTTTATCTTACTAATAATCGGAAATGTCATCTTGTCATCGTAATAATCGGAAATGTCATCTTGCCTCATTCGCCATTTTAAAAGTGTATTGTTCACCTGTTGTTTCTTTTGAATATTTGCTACTGGCTATTTCAAAATTTTATTTGTTTTCAACTTTAAGGTGCTTCTAGAAAAACTAATTGTTTTGTCACAGCATACTGTTGATAATTAATGATATTATATGAATCAATAAATATGTAAACAGAAGTAAAATCACTTGAAAATTTTATAACTTGATAAAAACAAATGTAGCGTAATGTAGCGTCACTCCAAATTCTAGATTGTTCCACTAGTCCAGGATTTGTATATAAAAAAAGTTAAAACTAAAACACTTATGGCAGTTTTAGTTTTAACTTTTTTTGTTTTTTGCTACTTTCACTTAAAACATTTTCAATTACTTTGATATTTGGCCATTATTTTTAAAATTTCATTAGCATTTTACTAGATAACTAGGTAACTAGGTTACCGATAACTTTTATTAAACTATTCTATTACTACTTGCATCGTTAATGCATATTAACGAAAAATATTAATTTAGATTTTAATTTTAAACTTTTATTCGGAAATTAGCAATAGCTTGAGTGGTCAATTTAGAAGCGCTTTAAGATGGTTTGGTACTATCCCAGGGGACACAGGCGTAAAAAAGGCGTCTTTTAAACGTTTTATTCACATTTTGGACGTCTTTTGAGCGTTTTGGACGTCTTTTGAACGTTCAAAAGACGTCTTTTTTTGGTCCAGTGCCCACTGGGATATTTGGTAATAAATTCTTAAAACTTAGTCTCATCTCCTAAGCGTTAAGACTTTTTTTTGATAAATAAGTAAAAATTACTCAAGTACAAATACTTACTGGGTATGATCGTAAATAGTGCCCACGGGTTACTTTCGCATGTTGAACAGTTCCTTCAGGGGATTATTGTTTCTCAATAATAACTCAAAATTCAATTTGTTCTGTTGCTTTAAAACCTATTACTGTTAGGTAATTATTCTCTGAATTTCAATTGAGAGCATTGGTGGAGCAAATTATTTATTAAATGGCAGAGACATGCTGCAGCATACAACTTGGTTTTTTCTTACATAAGATTTGCTCTTCAAAAGAATGTGTTTCTTGCAGCTTTAAATGGTTAATTTTTTCAATAAAACAATCAATACAGTGGCTCAGCTCTTATTTTTTGAATTGAAATCTAATAAAGAAAAAGTACAATCTCTTTCTCATCTTTTTTCCTCCGCAAAGGAGTTCTTGGAGTACCCAAGAATATATATATGTGGTACCCCAAAAGTATATTTAAATTTCTTATAAAATTGGTTGCAATAAATTTTAATAAAAACAATTATGTACTCTATAATAAATTAGTTTAAGTAGTACTCTGTTGAGTCAAGATGTATTGTCTTTTAGATCAATTAACGGCCAAACCATAAAATAACTTTAATCAACGAATATATGGCGACTGATTTTGGAAAAGTTTAGCGCCATAAAAGATAATACATGGTTCGTTTGCAGTTACAAGATTTTCAGTGACTTTTATTCCCTTGCCACAAACCATTTGAACCAAGTTATACCAATCTCTCGGTATAAAGATTGCAATATATTTTGGATTTGCTTTTCTATAATTGCATGATCTGAATCATATCCCATCCAGGTTTAGCCTGGTTCTAAAAATTTATGATGTATTCTTTTAATATTTGCTGTTACTTTCATAGTCTCTAAAAACATTATAGGTAAATGAAAACTGTGATTCTGACCAGTGCAGTATTTTTTTATTATTATTATTATTTATTTATTTGTATTTGAAAAGTTGAACAATTTAAATCTTACTTTTTTAAATTCGATTTGAATGCTGAGAGAGTGATGGCGAGTTCAGTTCGATTTGAATGCTGAGAGAGTGAGGGCGAGTTCAGTTCGATTTGAATGCTGCGAGTGAGGGCGAGTTCACTATGTGGTCTGGATGTGAGTTCCATACTTTAATAATTCTTTCGTTATAAAAAAATCTTCTAGTATCATTAATGTATTTATTACATGGTGTAAACTTTTGTAAATGACTTCTAGTAAAATATTGCGAATTGGAAAAAGTAAAAAAATCTGAAAATGGTAAATCAACAAAATTATGTACAATTTTTTAGGTCATATAAAGATCAAATTTAACTCTGCTATACTCAAGCGATTCTAGTTGGAAAAAAAATAAATCTTGATAAGTAATCAGTGTATGTAATATGACACCTTTTGCAGACAACTCTGGTAAAATATTATTGAACTTTTTCAAACTGGTGTGCATAATTCTAATACAGGCCGCATATAAATTTTATAAGCTTTGAAAAAGTTGAGAATTGTTAGAGATGAAGGATTTTAAAAGTAAGTAAATGCAAAAGTATGCTATGCTTGAAATACGAGAGCAGTGATTAGAGAACTTCGTATCAAAGGACATGACAGTTGTCGGAATAATATATTATTTCTTCCGCAATCTTTAAAGATGACATTTCATCTTGATATAATGTCATCATCAAATATAAGAGCAGATGCTATCTTATCTGATCCTTGACATCCATCAGTTTCTGTACTGTACTGTTTCAGAACTGTGGATATGATCTAATGTCATCTACAAGTCGTTGCTTATCCATAAGTAAGGCTTTATTTATTCTGGCTCGAATTGTCCTCTTATATTATTGGACACAATACCAACTGATTTTCTTTTCAAAGTTGTTTGAACTCGTTTGTAATTGATTCCAAGGATGTCCAATAAAATGTAAAACACACCCTTGATGTTGTAATCTTTTATTGAATAGTGCTTGTTTTTTTCTTTTTTTTTTGGTTTTCTCTTTTTTCTTAGCTGATCTTACTTCGATAGAGGATGCAATAAACTGATTTTGTGTATTTAGATTTACTTTAACAGAGAATTTTTTAAAAATTGCAATTTTCTCCTCTTGCATTTAAATGATTAATGGACTAGAAAAATAAACATAACATTACTAGTATCAGTAGAATATATGCTGGTTGATGGATTGTTTTTAATAGACTCTATTTGGTTACCAACACCATGTGTATTACTGAAAATAAAGCACTAAAAACATTAATATCATTTTAAATATATGCTTGTCTTTATAGATTTTCTTTGCCAGTCCTTTACCATTTATTCATTTTGTATGCCCAAACCAGTAGAAGTTTATTGAATATGATCTGTGGTATAATGTCATTTGAAATGCTACACTCATTTTTTATACATTTATTTCACACTTCGCCCACCCACCGTTTGCCACTTATTTATGTCATCTTTTTCATTTCCATTATTACGATGATAGAAATACAATTTAATTAAATCATTGGAAAAACACCAAAATTTGTAACAAATGTGATCAATAAAATTGATTACATAATCTCAATTATTCGAAAATGACTCACCCTTATTAACTACATCCATTAATTAGGTTAGCAAATAACTTGTTTTATATGAATTTAAAGTTGGCTCGCCTGTGAAATAATTCATTAATATAAGAAAAGAATTCATAACACAATAATCATGTTTTAAACGTATTTAAATTACGTATTTTTCGATTTTCAAAAATCTAAAATGTTTTGTTGTTAGACTGTAATGCAAGCATTAAAAAAACTCAATTTTGCTTGAACTGTAATGACAATAGATTTAGCAATGAAAAATACTTAACAATTGTATGTATTTAAAGTTAAGGCCTTTTGTGATAAAAACAATATTTCTAGATGTTAATAAACTTAATTTATTTTCATCTCTTTATTCCGACTATTTAGAGATCAATCTTTTTTGCCAAATCAAAGATTGCACTATTATAAGCATTTTATGGAACAAACTTCAAATGGGATAGAACCTATTTCTATATAAATACCAATTTTATGAATTTCAAAGGTCCGATTTTAAAACTGTCAATTCCTTATGTATTTTGTGACCATAACTAATTTATTTGGT